AATTTTGACCCCAGGGCTTTTATTTGAACAAACTTGGTAGACACTTATTAGAACATGTTTCATGCTAAATATCTTAGCTCTAACTCTTTTGGTTCTTTAAGGTAGAACGCGACACTTTACGAACTTTCGAGTAGCGTCTTGAAAATCGGCATGCAAAAAATTGACCATATTTCTGATTGGATTTCGTTGATTTTATTTCAATAGTTTCAGCCAATTTTTGTACACACGACGTCAAAGTTGACCATCAAAGCCCGTTTTTGAACATGACGTTGTTGCGTATCCTTGGAAACTGTTACGGGTATTTCAACGCCATTGGCGGACAAAATATCTTAACTCCTACAGCATTCGACGGAAGTTATTTTTCCCTTCAAGCAGATATAAAATTTATTGTTTTCCGCCGAAAATTGTTTGAGTAATGGAAAGAAAATTGTCAATTTTGTGTAAAATTTGACGTTCAGTTTAGTCGCATTTTTAGGCTTAAAATCGGCTTATTAAAAAATTCCTGAAATAAATTTTTGATTTTTTTCTTTAAACGTCCTTTAAAATGTATACTTAGTCAAAATAACTACAAAAATTAGGGGGTCACCGACTCAATTTTTTCGGTGCACGTGATTTTATTTCCCCCACCCCTTTGGATAAAAGTCACGCTATCACGGGGCGTTTGGGTTTTTGATGTTATTAAAACGATCGCCCTGTGTCAAAATTCCTTTTTTACGGCATTTTAAGCTATTATTACCACTGCGGAAAATATATTGATACAATAAAGGGTACGGAATTCCGTATAGTATAGATAGACAGGTAAAAATAAGTGAAATTTGATGAACGGGACCGTATACATGCAATACGTATATATGACTAATATACCGTGATCCGTACACTCGTAATATGCGGGAACTTTGAATGAAGTCCGTATTTACTAAAATGCGTATTTTTTTAATTACACGGTCAGATATTACCAAAATATGATTTTTTTATTCTCGTAAATACAGATTTTGTATATAAAACAAAGAATAAAGATGTACTTCAGTATTACCCACTTTCTACAAGAGGTAAGAAATAATAGTCTGATCTGACATTTGTCAGAATAACATTAAATAGTAAAACTTTGAGTAAAATGTAATATTTCTCGGTTTTATTAACATGTCAGTATAGTTAGTGAAACATCGGCAGATCCTCTACAGTGCCCGTAGCAAAAATGCAACACTCCTTTGTGCAGTATATAGCTCAGGGCCGCCGGTTCGCTAAAATCCGCAGACGTGTTTTTACAGCGTTTCATTATATTTAAAATAAATTCTACCATAAATTTGGCTATACAGTGAATAATGAATTTTTGCAAAGGCCGATTTGATAGTAATGTGTTTAATACAGCGTTTATGGTGAATCCTCAATTAAAATGATAAGCAAAACGAGAGAATATGTATTGCAATTGTTTATTTACTTGTAGAATCGGACGTGCTACATCTGGCTGTAAAATACAGAAAAACAGAATCCCTTAAGAAATTCCAACACAACATAATTGAAAATGTTGCAGGCTCGGTTTGATTGAGCCTGTTTATGGACGGTACTGGAAAGTGCAAGTTACCGTCCACGCCCCCTAGCACCAATACCCGCTGAGCTAACGTTTCAAGCATGACTGTTTGCTTCACGCTAATATAATAAACTAAGTTTCATTTATGAACCGTATATTTTAATTTGTCAATATTTCGCCAATTCTGTCAAATTGTTGCAATAGTTTTTGATTACAAGTGAAATTCAAATTTTGGTTTTTAATAGGTGAAATAAAATACATATCACTCACAGTTTATCACTCATAGTGTGGGTAATGTAAAATGTATATATTTGCAGAATTTCTTGTAGACTACGTATTAATTTATGATTGAATTTCCATAAATTTCTAAATTTACATAAAAATATATACATGTAGTTGCTTTTTGTTCCATGTGGCAAATTTCTCGATTCAAGTTTATTAATCTTATTGTATTACAATATCAAAAAGGAACACCGCAAATGATTACTCTCAGCTGTATTTATTTTTGTTTGCGCAGCGTAAGCGTTACCGTTGAACGCCTAACGTCATTTTCTTTACATGCGTCTGTTTACAAATCCTTATGAAGTTATTAATCATGCTTAAAAACAAGAAAAAAATCGTTTGTTTTTCGTACAATTTTAGGAAATTTGCAATGGAACATTGTTGTTGTTGTTTTATATGTATAAGTGAAACTCTAAAACAATTCTCCTGATAAGCTGAACATTATTGCCGCACTTTGAAGTCTCAAACGTATCTGCATACGTCGAATTTTGTTACAAAATTACTCACGGGGTGGGGGCAATAAAATCACGTGTACCGAAAAAATTGAGTCGATGACCCCCTAATTTTTTTAGTTATTTTGACTAAGTATACATTTTAAAGGACGTTTAAAGAAAAAAATCAAAAATTTATTTCAGGAATTTTTTAATAAGCCGATTTTAAGCCTAAAAATGCGACTAAACTGAACGTCAAATTTTACACAAAATTGACAATTTTCTTTCCATTACTCAAACAATTTTCGGCGTAAAACAATAAATTTTATATCTGCTTAAAGGAAAAAATAATTTCCGTCGAATGCTGTAAAATTTAAGATATTTTATCCGCCAATGACGTTGAAATACCCGTAACAGTTTCCAAGGATACGCAACGACGTCATGTTCAAAAACGGGCTTTGATGGTCAACTTTGACGCCGTGTGTACAAAAATTGGCTGAAACTATTGAAATAAAATCAACGGAACCTAATCAGAAATATGGTCAACTTTTTGCATGCAAATTTTCAAGACGCTACTCGAAAGTTCGCAAAGTGTCGCGTTCTACCTTAAAAGAAGATTTTTTAAGTTTTTACTATATGCATATAGGGAAAATCAATGACCCCCTGGGTCGGGGCCAATTTTGACCCCAGGGCTTTTATTTGAACAAACTTGGTAGACACCTATTAGAACATGTTTGATGCTCAATATCTTAGCCATAGCTCTTTGAGTTCTTTAAAAGAAGATTTTTTAAGTTTTTACTATATGCATATAGGGAAAATCAATGACCCCCCAGGGCGGGGCCAATTTTGACCCCAGGGCTTTTATTTGAACAAACTTGGTAGACACCCATTAGAACATGTTTCATGCTAAATATCTTAGCTCTAGCTCTTTTGGTTCTTTAAAAGAAGATTTTTTAAGTTTTTACTAAATGCATATAGGGAAAATCAATGACCCCCCTGGGGCGGGGCCAATTTTGACCCCAGGGCTTTTATTTGAACAAACTTGGTAGACACCCATTAGAACATGTTTCATGCTAAATATCTTAGCTCTTGCTCTTTTGGTTCTTTAAAAGAAGATTTTTTAAGTTTTTACTATATGTATATAAGGAAAATCAATGACCCCCCGGGGCGGGGCCAATTTTGACCCCAGGGCTTTTATTTGAACAAACTTGGTAGACACTCACTAGAAGATGTTTCATGCCAAATATCTAAGCTCTAGCTCTTATGGTTTTTTAAAAGAAGATATTTAAAGTTTTTTCTTTCGGTTGCCATGGCAACCAGAGATCTACATGGAATTAAATTCTTTGAACAATTTTTAAAGGTGACCACCAAAGGAACATTCCTGTGAAGTTTGGATAAAATTGGCTTAGTGGTTTATGAGGAGATGTCATTTAAAGTAAAAGTTTACGGACGGACGACGGACGGACGACCGACGGACGCCGGACGAAAAGCGATCACAAAAGCTCACCCTGTCACTTTGTGACAGGTGATCTAAAAAAGTCAAAAATATTAACATATGACTTCTACAGAAATGAGAGATGATAATATAGCAGTCATTTTGCACTTTTCAAGAATTTTTGAAAGCACTTTGAGTGAAATATCTGATACAGTTTCAGAATTTTAATTCAGTTTTAATGCAGACAGAATTTTACAAGTGCAATAATACATGCAGGTATAACTAAATAATTCTTAGTAAAGCAATAATTAATGCTTCCTGATTTTTTTTTTTTTCTTTTAATTAATTCAAATTCGCAAGCATACAACACCCGGGCTGCATTTCATAGAAAATCCTAAGTCTGAATCAGTCTTAAGACCAAAACGGAACAATTTTGCAATTCAAGAAACGTTTTAACTTATGACTCCATTTTCACGACTCTTTTCATTTCGGAAAAGCAATACAGATAAGCAATAACACACTGTGAATAAATTTTCTGTCATTGTATTTGTTTTATTTCTATAGGTACATTTTAATTACAGTCTACTGTCTTTGACTTGAAGAAATAATAATTTATTGAAAAAGCTTAAGTTAAGCCTTAAAGTTGGTTTTATGTCTTAGTACTTAGCATACACTTAGGAGTTTCTATAAACAGTCCAGCTTGTGTTTTTCCTGTCATAAAAAGCTTTAAAACCCTTGTTGAGATTTTAACTATTAAAGGTCAAATGTAAGTGATTAAACAATTAAAAGTATTTACTACAGTTGTGTCCCTTTATTTTCCTTTTTCTATCTTTGGATAATTGTTCACAATAGCCTACTATGAAAGAAATAAAACACTGGGTTGCGTTTCATGTAAAGTCTAAATTATGTGAGACATTTTTCGTATTAAAGAAAATGTCCTAACTTTTATGACTCTTATGTGAAGACTTTTCAATTTCTAAATTAACCTTACAAATTGTGGATTGAAGCATGTGCAATTGTAGTTTGTAACTTTTCTCAGAAGAATAAATTAATTAAATGTCTAAAACATTTAACAAAGATGAAAGTAGTTATTGAAACAACCTTAAGTTAATCCTATAGTTTGACAAAAGTCCTAAGACTTACTTAAGACTTACACTTAGGACTTTCATGGAACACAGCCCAGAACATTTAACATCGAAATTCTGAATTCTTCAATATAAAATGTTTTAATGTACCTTGTATTTCTATCTAAGTTATTCATTTAACAATATATGAACTTTACAATTACAATACATGTATAGACTTTGCAGAAAGAATTTTGTACCTCTGTCCATCTACGCTACACGCCGCCACACCCCAGAAGTTAGGACTATATCTAGCAAGCTGAGGTATATATGTTGCTACCTGAAAATATAGAAACCAAACTTTATTTTAACTTGAATTAATTTGAATTACAGAAGGCAATAAATACTGGAATTTTTTCAAATTAAATGGTATAATGCTACATCTAATGAAATTATTTCTTTTGTAAAATTTATCAACAGACAAACTATATTGTTTCAATATTGTTATGACTGATTCTCAAAAGCGTTATTTAAGAAATAATATATCCCAAACTGTGATTTTATTGCTCAATAAAATCACTGTTTGGAGTTGGGATGTAAGGAAATACCATGTTTAAATGTTGAATTCTGTTTAAGCCGGTGCTAGGGGGCATGAACAGTAACTTGCACTTTCAGTTGAGTCCATGAACAGGATCATTCAAACTGAGCTTGAAATTTTCAAATTTTGCCATTTATGACTCACAATACTTTCTGATTTTACAGTGACCTGCGCTGGCATCATATAAGACAACATGGTGTCACATAAATAGAGCTCAAACTCATGCTAGATAAGTTCAATTTGAAAAGCAGACTCCTTAAAAATCTGGTTAAAGTGTGATCACATTAGCATTAATCACAATCATAACTTAGTTTGACTGAGTCCGTACATGTACATGAGGGATAATGAAAAAGTGAAACATTCCTCACAGCCCCTATAACCAGCTTGAGCGGAACTGAAATTTCAACACTTAAAAATGTTGGAATCAATAATCCGGAAGGACCAGAAAAATATCCCTCACTGAAGTGAAGTACATGTCACATGACATTTAACACTTGCTGCTGTGACATATAAAACTCTAGATAAAGTGTGATCCTTAACCCTCCGGTCATTGCTGTTACCAGTTATTTAGTAACATAAATCAAGAAAGCTTACATTTCCACTAATGTTTTCTCTACACTGCCAGTATAGTTCATCTATATCACTGCAAAACTGACTGAAGTCCGGTATGATAAACTCATTCCTAAACGCAGTCGAGATCAGGGATATATTCTTTGCTATACATCTGAAAATGATAATAAATTTGTTCCTTTCTATACAAATCTTACAAATTATACGATAAACATTCAGGTACTTTTTAAATTGACAATTTTGAGTTTTTCTAGAATGACAAAGAGTTTTACTAAAAGTTATCATTCATTTACACAATGTATGGACCCCATAATAGACTTCTATACAATCATGATTATATGAATATAATAATAATTATGTATTCAATCACAAATGGTGTCCTTAACTTATAAGAACTTCAATGAGAGTCTTGTTTTATTTAAAGATGATCTGCTACAATTGTTCTATGAAAATCATGAACGTGAATCTGGTAAAGAAAGCAAATCTTGCTCTTATTTTCATCCCTGTGTCCTTCTACTGACCTTACCATTTAACCTTCAACTCTGACCTTATCATTTAACCTTCAACTCTGACCTTACCATTTAACCTTCAACTCTGACCTTACCATTTAGCCTTCAACTCTGACCTTACCATTTAGCCTTCAACTTTGACCTTATCATTTAACCTTTAACTCTGACCTTACCATTTAACCTTCAACTCTGACCTTACCATTTTGACACTTTATAAAGTAAACTATTTTCTTACTGTTTAAAAGTTTCACGATCTATGGTTGGACCGAACTTAGACATATCACCGTCCTGAAATCTCCCGGACGATTGGTACCGAGACAACCCCTGAAAACATTCTGCCAGCCGTGGATCATTTTCCCTCAATCCCGTAGATGTAAGTGCCTGTAATTATAAATTACAACGTTGAATCATATCTTACTATTATAGTATGATATATAGTATTAGTATGATATTCATGAAAATCAGATATATCATACATAGCTCATAATAAGACTTCAAGACATTTATTATACAACATCGCCAATCTTCAACTATTGGAATAAGTCAGAGTTCTATACTACATATATTTTAATTAAGAAATAATATATCCCAAACAGTGATTTTATCGTCCAATAAAATCAGTGTTTGGAGTTCGCATGCGAGGAATTATATCACAAGGGTGAAGCCCGAGTGATATAATGATGCACATACGAACGACTAGCAGTGATTTTATCAAGCGATAAAATCACAGATTTGGATATATTATTTCGATTCTAACACGATATCTACAAATAAAGGCTGCCGTACTTGATATTAAGCTAAATAGTGCTCGATTTGTTTCCGTACTTATTTTAAGCATGTGGCATTTTTTAGTTGTTATGTCACATGTATAATTATTACATCACATGTCTATATATAGAACGTCAACAGTGATTTTATTGCATAATAACACACAATGTTCAATAGAGAAAAAAATGCAGGGCATATTAGAATGTGTAATAACAGTGATTAAATGATTATAAAGTTTTACATTTACTGATTTTTCAGTATTTATTGGTCACCATATTTCTACTGCGTGACTAACACTTTTGATCACTTTTTGGTAATTTAAGTGGATTGTTAGTACCATTCGTCATGTGTAAACAACTGTCTTTGTTCACTTCACAATATTAAAAATTTTAACTTTTAAATATATTTTCAAAACCTTTAATGAGAGTAAGCATGAATCTGGAGGTTTGCTGCTTTAAAAAGATGTTAATATTTGAATATATATGCTTTGGCAAGTTTAAATCTTTTTAAATACTATCTCTCCAATTATTGTATCAACTAAGGCGAAACATCAAGGCGCAGTAAATGTATAAACCACTGAGTTATCAAACTCTTTTAAAATTGTAACATAAATGTAATGTTAAAGTATTCTAACTGTTTATAACAACCAAATAACAATCAGTAGACCGATAAATAGCATTGACATAACACTGCAATAATACACTATTATGTCCTGCATGTATGACGCCCTACATGTTATAATATCAGAGCAGCAAGATCAAATTTCAGTTTGAACGTTTTTTTTAATGTGTCTTTTTGACAAAATGTGCATGATTCTTTACAAAGATTTTTCAACCTTTTGTGTCTTTTGATAAACTTGACACCATATGCTAAAATTGATCTTGTTAAAAAAATCTCTTAATGATTTAAAAATCAAAATAAATGTAGGCTGTTTTAAATTTTGATGAAAAAAGCAGTATGACTAGAATTTCTTTTATGCTTAAGAAAATGAAGCAAACTGTAAAAATTCCTGTATAATATGTACTAAAACTAGAATGTCTTAATGAAAATGGGTTAAAATTTCGAACAGGCAAAATCAAGTTTCTAGAAGACAGGGTTTTAATATCCTGTATAAGATTTATCTAATTTCCCAAAATTAGTATATATAAATATAATATGGAAAAAGTTTTCACAGCATTGCTTTCCTATGTTCATTGCAAAAAGAGCCTGAGTTATTGAATTCATAAACATTTTCAAATTCAAAGCTGGCCAGGTGTGTTACCTATAAAGCCCATGAACCGTATTGTTTCTATTTAAGCCCCCTAGGGGCTGACATTTTTTCAAAAGGGGGGCGCTAATTGGAACTATAAATATGTGATTTACAAATGTTTATTAAAGATGCAATTCAATTATCAAAAACGTTGTTCATTATTATGATTTTATATATAAAGCAGGATTTTTATAAATGATTTTATATTACTGGAGTGTCATTACTTGTTATTTTCAAATAACAATATTTGAATTTTTTGGGTTGTTCTTTCATTATGCATTACAAATCTATGAGGTAATTTTTTTTCTTCTACAAAATGTGGTGAAGGCACTAATAAAAGGAAGAGGGCATTTAATGGAAACAATATGGTATAAATCTAGCATTGTTTTGGTTAAGCATGTAATTTATGACAGGCTATGTCATATAGTGCATAAAAAGTAGAAAACTGTGCAAACTGATGGGTATAGCAATAAATATTTTGTACCAATAAATTCAACATAATATGTTAATAAAAAAAGAATGAATAAAATAAAACTAACATACATACATTTACAAATCTTGTAATATGAACTCGTCCATTCTTATCCCCTAAATAGTCAAACAATCTATCTTCAATATCTTCTATTATACTCGCATTTTCATCCCTGAAAATTAAAATCAATCAAATTATTTTTGTCCGAATTTTAGTCACATCTAAACTGTTAAGGTGACATACAATGACTATCCAGTGAGTTTTACTGGTGGAGGAAGACCTCAGGTGGCCCTTCCAACATTATTTTAAGCACAAGCCAGCTCTTGAGTAGAATCACTAACCTTCCATAAGCTAGCTGGATAGCTTTCTAACATGATACCAAAATCCCTGACAGGATTTGAACCCATAACCGTAATTGGAAAGTGATTTGAAGTCAGTGACCTTACAAACGCAACCAAAAATGCTGAAGATATATCACTTTCAGTTAGAGACAGGATGAACATTGCATATACAGTACTTAAAGTCTTATATCACATGAAATATTGAAGTCAGTTACCATAACAACTGCAAAATATGCTGAAAATATATCACAATCTGTGACAATCAGTTAAAGTCAGGATGAACATTGTATAAACAGTTGAGTACTAAGTATTAATTATCACATGAAATATAATTTACTATAAGTAAAACATGAATAATGAATAAAATTAATACTTACAAAAGGGGAATTGCTCCTGGCTGCCATTTCTCTCCTGGGCTTAGATAAATACTGGAACCAGAATGATATGATCTGCAACCTCCTAATATATCTAGATTTGAGCCTGGTACCAGCCTTAAACAGTTTGTTAGATTGCGCAAACTTTTCTTCCAAGTCATTGAATGATCCCTGGAGTTCCTTACATTATTCCTTGAATAATAACTTTCTTTATTTACATTGGAATGAATATTTAAACTATGATTTTTCCCAGCTAAATAATGTTTCGGACACCTGGTTTCATCTTTAGTAAATTTAGACTTCCAAATATGTCCATGTCTATGGAAAGAAAATGCTCTTATTTTTAGCATGTTTACTGTTTTAACTGGATTTATAATACAACTGTGACATGTTGAAGTAAATGATGATATTCCAGAGAATGTAAGGTGGGTTCTCAAAGACAGTTGCTTCATTATATCTGTAAGTAAAATAGAACAGTATTATAAATATATATATGTTAAAAATTACATGACAACAATTTTTTGTCTCATCAAACTTGCTTGGATATTATTTCATATGCAGCTAATATAACAGTATTATTGTGCAAAAAGTAGTATTACTTACACAAAAAACACAAATTTTCAGATATCTTATTATTTCCTTTGAATGAATCATAAAGTTTAAGGTACATTGTATCTCCTACATACATTTAATTTTTTTATTGTGAAAATACATGAATTTTTCTTTATCAACCATATATTTGTCTACAGTTTTAATAAGTTTAACACAAGTTACAGACACTACATTAGGTGTATAACATCCAAGAAAAAAAACTTAATGTTTGACAACCTTGGTAATTACTATATAAATTGTCAGCAGATCTACCTTAGTTACGTTAGGTAGCTATCTATGTCCTTGCAAAATACTCTCCCCTGTAAGTGAACAGTTCTATACTATGACAAGGGGCTTAATATGTTTGTCCCAGTATTCATGTAGCAATACGATATAATTACATGTTTTGAAATGTATTGTACTGGCATCGAAAAATATTTTTCAGATTCAGTCATCCTGCAGAATGGGACTAGCTTCTCAATCCAATGTGCAGGCAATATTTTTCTACTGGTCCTGCATCAAGTTCTCTTAAATTCTGAGTTAACTCTTAATTAAGAGCAGACATGTGGAATTTTCGATCTCTGTTTTGCTAATTATACTAATTTATTAATGCTTTAATTACTGCTTCTAGGACTAAAATATAATATCTTTTGTCCCAATTAAATCGCTTCAGCCATAGAGTAGTGTAGCTGATTAAAGTCTTTAGCAAATGGCACAGGTCTGTTGGCATTAAATGTAAGCTAAAAAATTGAAAGAGTCTACTTTAGCGAACAGATTTTAAATGGTAGGCTACTGCTTAACTGACCTTTAGGCTTTAATAAGTAAAAGCGACATATAAAGTTATGGAAGCCAGAACTACATTAGATGATAAATATCATTACGGTATATTTTAAGTGTTGAATCAGAAAGGGAAAAAATCAATTGCAGTGTTGATAACAGATTTATTTCAATGTCAACATGTCAGTATATATCTGATTTTATCAATTAATGTATTAATTTATTAACTAAATACAGTAGAGACTGGCAACATAAAAATCAATATTCAAAATACACATGTTACTACCTTTAGCTTACTTACGTTTAAAGTTGAAACATGTGGGGAAAAAATAATAATTATGATAATACTAACCGTTACAATTATTTTGTTACTCCACCCACTAATTACTCCTTCTATAATCGATGAAAACAAAGGTTTATACTACGGAATCACGAATGGTTTACCACTGTGGTCTATAGATTAATCGACTGACGGATTATCGTGGAAAAAAATAAGTATCAACATGTGGCCGTTATTTGGTAAGCGGAAAGAAATATCTTTTCTTTTTCTTTCCCCACCAACCTCTGTATCAAGTATTTCCGGAATGCTTCGGCGCTTATCTGGAGGTGTGCGCTATGAAGAGCGTTTTCATTGGCTGTTTATGACCCACCTTAATATGTTTTTGTTTATCAATGAACACGTGTTCTGATAAACCATGCATAACAAGGTATACTGAAAATGTTTTTAAGGGAAGGAACTCGGATACAAATGTAAATGTAGTGTTAAACTTACGGCACGTTATTACACTCTTCCACTAATGTAAAGTATATAAAGCATTGTGATTTAAAGTTTGAAAACCTCTATACCTTGGTTAAATTTAACTCTCATTTAATTGCCAAAATATAAGTTTAATAATTAATGAAGTGATTAAAACAAATAAGTAGAACATTAACTTTTTAAAAATACATCATTGGCAAGGTCTATAATGAAGTAAATACATTTAACAGCTCAGCTCACAAGTCCTGAAGGAGCATTTTACATGATAAACTAAACGTACAGTTTCTACATAATAAAAGAGATAATCTGAACGTACCATAGAAGTCACATATTGACCTTTGACTTTTTAAACTGAAAATGGGCATGGCAGATATAAATAATCAAGAAACATCTTGAATGTGTGGTACAGAGTTTGAAGTTCCAAAGTCAATGCACTTAAATAATATATAATATGGCCGTGGTGAGTTTTATGTTTTGTTCTTTAAAGTCCCAATGATATTGAACTTTTGACCTAAATAGATGGTGACTGGCAGGTAGAACTATTCAAGGTACATTAACATAAAACTTTGAATATCCTAGAACAATATGCACTATTGTTGAACTGCCTGGGTTTTATGTTTTATAACAATTTTTTACCAAAAATTTATATTCAACTGGAAATGACCTTTTAAACTTATAGAATTTCATCTACCAGTACCTTCAATGTTTGAAGTAAAGCGGGCGTCAATGAGCTCATCAACTTCAAAATCTGAAGTTCTTCGGTCAATGTACATTAATCGTTTAGACTAAAGTAGCATTTAAGTTTTATGTGTTAATATATTACAGTACCAACTTCCTTGACCTTTGACCTATTGACCTGAAAATGAATGTGTCAGGTAACGTAGACTATAGAATTTTACATGGTGCATCTACATACAAAGTTTGAAGTTCCTCAGGGCCCATGCATTGTGCTGAAATGGACCTCATGGGTATACAGAAGAGTATTAGCTTATTAGACTTAAGATCCATTCTCTATTCTTTATTGACTATTATAAACACTTTTTTCACTTAACATATGAGTGAGACTGAACATGGTACTAGTAAATTTTCTACACATAAGAAAAGAATAAGAAAAACCTTCACTTATTTAATGATGGTTTATTTCCAACATACTATGGCTGTGGACAGTTGCTCTACTTTTTGTTTTTTGTTGAGTTTTACATTGCACCAACATAGTGTAGTCATATAGCAAATTTCCCGTTTAACTGACGAAGACCTCAGGTGCCTTTCCATGCATTATTTTGGGAACAAACAGCCAACCGAATAGAACAACCGATGTTCTGTAAGAAGCTGGATAGCTTCATCACATGAAAGAATCTAAAGTGTCCCTGTCAGGATTCAAACCCATAGGGGCAAGTGGTTTGAAGTTAAACGGTTTATCATAACCACTTGGCCACAGACGCCTCTACTTGGGTATAAGACTGGCATACTGTGTCCCACGAGACAACTTGAATGGCAGCAATCTTAGCTGGTCCAACATTGTCGGGGTAATCTTACCTTACCATGGCCTATTGTCTAAGGCTTCTATACACTTCATGTATTAATCATAAATGTCTGCAGAACAAGTACAGTTGGGCCTATTTAAAAGAATAAGTGAAATTATAAAGATAATTTCTAACCACTTTTTTGCTTCAAAATTGATTTTTTTAAGGACCAGGGATCTTATCAAAGATCGTACAATTTTGGAATTCTTTTCATATGATTTTGATATACGATTGATATATGACAATCGTACGATGAAAACGGACTTACAGCCGTAAATATGATGGGACCCTGGATCTATCTACAGTACAGTAATGCTAGATTTTAGTACCTTCTTAGCAGAACATAAATTGTCACACAGACATGCATAATTCATACACTATCTTTCCTGTTTTGATACAAATATACCATACTGATATATAGAGGATATTCAGTTGTTTTTTTATAAATACAGGACTGAATTTCATAGAGTGGTATGAAAATAAATATTTCTTGAGTGGTGGTAGCCACAAGTGAAATATGATAATTTCTTCTGTTTAATATATATATTTTTCTCTTTTTTATATATAATAAGTAATATAATAAGTATATAATAAAGCCAAGTATTTAATATGACTGTGATCAGTTTCTTAAAATAAACAAAACAAGATATCAATCACAATTTCAAAATTTTTAATTATCATCATAAAAATACAGTTTTTTATACACAAGACCTCATGTTAAAATATATACATAACATCATCAGGTACACCATTTAATAACATGTACATGTACATAGAGCTGGAATCCTAATACTGCAATAGCAGACATGAAAAAATGTAATAATAGTTAATTCAAAATGACATTTGACATATTCAGAAGAAAATTAATGCTTCATGATAAATATCCAATGATTTTTCACCTTACATAACACATAAGGCATATACATGTATAAGACCTCTTCTCTCCCAATTGAAATTTTCCTATAATCATGCAGTTTTCCCAAAAATCTGAACTTATACCAGCTTTTTCCATCCCTAAATAGCAATTATAGCGATACTTTTTCCCAAAATCAAGATGCTAAGGACTCTAAGCATCTAAGTGAGAAAACCACTGATACATTAAAACGATCTGTCTCAGAAAAACAAAATTGGAAGCATATATAAACAGCTGCTAGTAGGTATTGGTGATGTTATACAATTTCATTTTTTTTCTACCTTGGTATTAACACAAATTTAATGTAGAACCATCTATTATACATACTGATGTTATGGCAATAACTGTTAAAAATATAAACCTGGCAAATATCTTAAAATAGCTCACTGAGTTTTCATTTTGATTTGTATAGCACTAACACTGTTTTTTTTCAACACCTGTTGAACAGATTACAATTAATACAACTCTGTTTAAAATACCAAAAACAATGCTTGGGATGTATTCAAAGAAAGTATTATCCAATTTTTTAGAAGCTTGCATGATGCTTATATATTATGCTTTATTTATAACCAGAAATATTCAAATTTAAACTGCAGTTAATTAATTGACAGTAATTTATTTAATAAGTGTTAGATTTAATATTCACAACTCTGAAAAAAAATATGAAATTGTATTTATAAAAATATGAAACTAGAAATAAAGTTATGCTAAATTAAACAAGAAAAGAGACAAAATAATAGCTATAGGCTTTGTAAAAAATGATTACTACAAAAATTTATACTTAATTACAACATAAGAGGAATGTTTTTTTTTTAAATATTTACAAAAAGTTCCCAGTGCATGGGCTTTGACAAAATTAAAACTTTATATTTTCTGTCACAAACCATCTTACAACAGGAGACAGATATAACTTAATGTCTTTCAAACTTATACAAGCTGTTCAAACTCTTAAAGCAGCCTTCAGCTCGAAAAACAATTCTGTGTTGTTTCTAACTAAGTGTGTCAGTAACTTTATCTTAGGAAAGTGCATCATTTCACTTGTTAGGACTTCCTCAAAACAGTGTCCCAAGAGCTATTTATAGGGTTTGTTTCTAAAAATAGAAGATCGGGAAACAGTTTACTAATTTACATATAGAGAGCGGACCAGTTATCGAGGGGTTTCCCTTTTGTTTTTGTATTCCATTGACGGCAAATTTTATTTTACACATTCATTCTTTTAATCTGACCATTTTATGAAACCGTTCATCTAAAATAACATACAGCGAAAGTTGAGAAAACTGGACAGCTTTCGGACCGAGGGTTTTGTCCGGTTTTCTCAGCGGTATTTAACTTTTAGAAAAGCTGAAAGCCGCTTAAACATTACTCACAATAATAATAATAACTTGGTCAACATATACATTTTTTAAACAATACATGTACTATTATTACATATATAACCTAAAAAGAGACAATACACAAACTTGCATTGATTCAATTGTACATTATTTCTTCTTTTACTTAAAATGCATGTTGATACATGTATCTATACTAAACATACAGTTTGAATAGGTGAATAACTAAATTGTAAAATACAAAATTTAAAGTGCCATGTTTGTCTCAGAAATGAAAATTAGATTTTTATTTCTCAAAAACTATTTATTTTTGGTATCTTGTTACAGTTTTCAATAGCATACATATTTGCTACATACATATACATGAACTATCTTTTGCATCTTTAGTTGTGTTGGCAATTCTAAAGAATTGAAAAAATTATCACTTTTGGAGACATAATGTGCCTTTAATAAACCATTAATGGCTGCATTTCTCATGTGTAAGAGCTATAAACCTATTTTATACACGAAGTACTTAAGATATTCTAGTAATATTTCAATGTTTCTTATATATAACACTAGTACTGTTAAATCCTTGAAGAAGAAATTAATTTGTCTTAACATAAGGTTCAATTATTCAAATTTATCCATTATTTGAACAGATAATTTCTATACTTGTAAAGTACTGGAACTGCTGGTGATTTTTTTAACTAGACTAAAGATTAAACGTTAAATATCAACCTGTAATAGAATACTCTCAGAAAACTTGTAGACATTTTATGATACTATGTCAAATTGGCATTCTTAGCATGATAAGTTATAAATGATAATTTATGTTGATAACTTTAATTCACAATAAGAAGGAATTTAAATACAGAGAAAAATACAAGCAAACATTTTATCATTCAATTTTACCATTTAATTACATAACATGATAAACCTTAATGTTAAATATATGTTAACACATTTCAATATAAATAAAAATTGCAAGTTTGTTTCTTTTATATGAATTGTATGAAATAAGGTTAATTATGAGATCTACAATTGCATTGTTCTAATTTGGTAGAAATGAAACCAGTCCTCAGTTAAATTGTGCTATACACATCAATACAGGACTCAAGAAAATCAAACTAGAAATTGAGGACCAGTCTGGAACACATCTTTTTTATTGGTCGATTCTGATGACTGAATTTGAATCAGCCAATGGATGAGTAACATTTTAAGACTGGTCCACTATTTCCATTTTCATAAAAATACATACCATCATAAACATTCAACACTGATAATGCATGTATGCAAGGAGTGTTCTTTTAAGCAAAAATCTGTCACACAAATTATTTATAATAATCAGATGAGTGAGGGTTTTTTGGGGTTTTTTTTAATTAATAGCATAACTGATTATTTCCCAGTTTTGAATATCTAATTGCTTACATTGCTTATATTTCTATGAATGATTCAAGATGGTTATGGCTGTTATGTTTTATTTTTCCTTTAGTATGTATACTAAAAAAAATAAACCTTGATTTATTAGAGAAAATGCAATTCAGTATAGGGCAATTCAAAAACATGAGATTTCTTTCAGTCCTCCAAGTGTTATGTGAAAAAACATTTTCTTTTTTTTCTACAAACAACAAGAATATGAAAATATAGTTAACTTTATGAGTCTCCAGGAATAGGCCGAAACTGTTGCTTTTGTTGTGTGTGGGGGGAGGGGGGTGTATAAATAAGTCATACTATTTCAATTGTGCAATCATCCAGTTAAGATAATCTGTAAAGATATTGAGATCTAACATATGGACTGTCTGACAGTATAGAGTGATAAAATCAATCTCCCATATACAATGCACATGTACAAGTACTTCAAAATTCTCCAAAGAACATCAACTATTTAATAAGCAATTTTTTTTACAAGACCTTTTGTACAATTTTGGCATTAAAAGAACTTTTAGCACTCTTACCAACCATTCTTTCAGCCATTCATTACAATATCAATGAATAATTTCATGTTTTATATGTGTCCGTCTGTATATATAGACCTCTATTCTGCACATTTTGACCTAGCTTCAATCTGCACTTTTTTTTAAACTTAATTTAAAACTGAATGAGTTTGGTAGAGTGTACCATTTAACACAAGTTTTTTCCCTCCAAGGTTGTTTGTGTTATACATGTAATTCAAAAGTGACTATAATCGTTTAATTTGACATTTTGACCAGTTAATTACTAGTCTAAAGCTTAATTTTTGTTGTTATTTTTTATAGGAAAGGACTAAAAATATCAAAGGAAAACCACATAAATAAGATAACAAATTTAACAAGCGAGTGAAATGAGACTCTTAATCAAAGTGCCTTACTGTATCATGTATATGTTTTTGAAAAATAATGTTGCAAAAGAAACAAGAAACCAGCAATGCACCACATGCAGTAACAGCTTTGAGAAACCTGTTTAATCATTGAATTGAAAAGATGCATAATTCTGATTTACATAAAAACAACATTTATTTCAGGAATACATTTCTGCTAGATAGAGAGCACAGATTTTTTGCGACATTTAATCTTCTTATATAATAAGCTTACATTAAATCAGATACAAAATAATCACCAAATGACAGTAGACATGATAGTCTAGCATCGTCATGACAACAGAATCAATAACAGACATCATGTAACAGTAACACATGGTACAGTAACACAAGTTACAGTAACACACATTACAGTAACACACATTACAGTAACACATGTTACAGTAGCACATGGAACAGTAACACATGTTACAGTAACATAGTTACAGTAGCACATGGTACAGTAACACATGTTACAGTAACACATGTTACAGTAAGATACATTACAGTAACACCTGTTACAGTTACACACATTACAGGAACCCATGTTACAGTAACACACATTACAGGAACACACATTACAGTAACACACATTACAGTAACACATGTTACAGTAGCACACATTACAGTACACCTGTTACAGTAACACACATTACAGGAACACATGTTACAGTAACACACATTACAGTAACACCTGTTACAGTTACACACATTACAGGAACCCATGTTACAGTAACACACTTTACAGGAACACACATTACAGTAACACACATTACAGTAACACATGTTACAGTAGCACACATTACAGTAAGATACATTACAGTAACACCTGTTACAGTTACACACATTACAGGAACCCATGTTACAGTAACACACATTACAGTAACACATGTTACAGTAAAACACATTACAGTAACACATGTTACAGTAAAACACATTACAGTTACACCTCCTATTATCACAACATGAAACATTTTGATACATTTTACATATAAGTATATATCATCTACCCAGCTGAATGCTTCTGAATAAAAATTTTACAACGCCAAAACATGATGGAAAGTGTAAGCCACAGTGACCTTGACCCCAATCAACCAGACACTCCACAGCAAAGGTAAGAGGTACATGACGGGTATCAAAAACACCAAATAAATGCAGATGTTATATGAACTGTTTGTAAAACTAAACGACGGAAGAAACAACAAAACCAGAATATATCATTAATACTCTGATGCTGATGAAAAATTCTGAAGGACCTAAGAATACATAATAAAATCTCATTAACTGGGACTTACTGACTGGTAACATATAGATACTGCACAATACTGGTGTATTTAAATCTTATCTTATATGCATATACAATAGTTCTGCACTGAGATGACAAATTACGCACCACTTCAAGAAAGGCTTGTACTAATGTACAGAAAATATTACACAAGCGTGTTATCCTGATTGGTTATTTAGCTGCAGTTGATTGTGCCAAGTTATACATTGGTATTCTCACATACCTGCAAGTCATGTGTGAATACAATTTGACACTATCACCAGGTGTCATATATCCTGTCAGAATAGCGAACTCGTGTAAATTTTTGTACATAATCTGTAAAATGTGTACAACAAACTGACGGAATTTTTTTATCAATACTTATTTGTAATGTAAAGAGCAACATTATGAAGGTGAGAAATACAGAAAATATCATCCAGGCTGAATTATGACAGTAACTTCAATAGAAAACATACAGGTATATAATAAATTAACATAATAAGAACACAAACTTAAAAAGCAAATTGTTACAAAAGAATACAATGAGCTGAATTTTGAAATGTATACAGTATTTAATTTATATAAACGTACAATTTGAGTAGAAGTTGTAAATGAGAACAATAGAAGTTGTATAAAAGAAGATATTTTTTTAAATGAAGATTGTTAATATTCCATATTGAGCTCAAAAATGTTAACAAGATTTGTGTTAAATTATTAATTTGCATGAGCAATCAGACTGACCAATGGTAGATCGGTATCAATATAATAGTTTATATCGTGCCATCCATTGTGAGATATATATCAACTAATTTCACTTTCACTCCTTATGTACAATTTCATGAAACATTTAGTTTTAAATGATCAGAGAAGTCCTTGTTTGAAGAATTAATACAGAAAGTCAAGAGCTTGGCGCTGTTTGATGCATTTTTCACTTGTTTTAAAATAACAATATATCTCATTAATAACAAAACTAAAGAAAAACTATTTAAAATATTCAAAAAATAAACTAAATCAGATTACTCAACTGCCTGCAATATAGGTAGATCTACAACAAGTTAAAACTGATGACAATTATTGAAACAATTCATGTCTGGGTGATACACTAAACCACAAAAGTTTATGATCTCTGTATACTGAAATAGTACCGACACATTCAACACTTTATTGCAGGCAATTGAATACCTTAAAGAAAAACATAATACACTAGCTCTATTGTAAGTGTGGAAAATGACCGTACGCAGCAGCTTGATCAGAATGGAGATTACTTGCTGAGGGCGTGATTTGAACCCACGGCAAATCTTCCCGTCTTTCCTGCCGCTGTTCTTGACGTCGTTTAGATCTGACGCTTGCTTTTGATCTCGTACTACGTGCACTTCTCGCACTCCTAGCACTTCGAACACTCTGACGGTCTGAGCCGTAACAATTGTTTACATTAGCTTGTTTAGTGTTTCTCATGCTGGTCTCGTAACTAGGTGGTCTGTCTAGTGTCGGATAATCGTTCTGATATTCCGTATGTGTGGTACGTGTATGTGTAGACTGGGTGTCCGCCTCGTAACCGGGGTTCGAGGCAGCGTGAGACGGTGTAGAATTAAGTTCTGTATTTCCTCGCGTTAATGTATGCATCTTTACAAACTCAAGTTCATCATTAGCATTCGAAGCAGCTGAAATAAAAATAAAACATAAAAAAACATCTAAAAAACTTTCAAAGAGTCAATATCCGCATGCCAAAAAATACTGGTAAATAAACTTGTTAGTTTAAATATTTCTAGTAACGACAGTTTATGTGCGAGCATGCAGGTCCCTGAAAATACCTGTAAGAGTTGTGTACCTTGACAATTAAATAGTGGATACTAAAAGCAATTTTCTGAAATTAACTAAACGAAAATTCACTTACACATGAGGGTTAGGTTAAGAAACAACTATTAATCCAATATACAAGGTTTAAAAGTAATATTAGAAGTTATGACTTTGTCTTTAATTTAAGGATTTAAACAACAAATTCTTTTTGTACAAATATTAATAAGTATTAAAATAAATGGAACATTATAGTGATGGACTTCAGGGTCTAAAGAGATAGTGATAGTAAAAACTAAATTAAAGTCAATCTCAGATTAATTATTCTCTTACATACAAAAACAAGGAAGTTTAAAAAATCATTCACTTAAAAAGTAAAACTTTAACAAGAAATTTGTAATATGATGGTAACCTTTCAATAACTTTGAGGAAAAAAGTTATAAACAATATATTTAATTTGTTTCACAACTTATTTTCGCAGTATTGTTATTATTCATTAAATCCATAATTCTTTCTGCAAATCACCTTATTTAAGGCGCTTTAGAAATGATAGCAGAGAATCAATACTCCCATTGCTATATTTCTCTCTATTTAACAGCTTGTGTAAATGTCACTTTATATCTTTACATTCAATATTGTTATCACACGTATCTAAAAGTAAACAATTACTGAGACATTACAAACTAGGAAAATGTCAACTATATTTAACCATTAACCTGCAGAAACCAACAAATTTTCCCAGTATTTTAGGAACATGACCCATACCGATGGAATTGGGAATTTCAGCAATGTTTTGTTAAAATTGGGAAAAAATGCATGACTGAAATTTTGCAGAGATTAAATGAATGCAAACAATCACTGTCTAGGATGGCAACTTCAAACATTTAAGCATCACTTAAAAGTGAAGTCCATATTTTCAAAGATTTTTTCATTTTGTAACTTTCAATTGGGAATATATCCTGTGGATTTGGAAAATAATATACTATTTTCAATTGGGAATATGACCAAATATCAGTTATAAAATAAGCCAAATAAAATCCCTGGAAACCAAAAGTGATTGGACTTGGCCGCCAGTTACGAGTGTAGAGCCAGGCCAGCGTGCACATCCGTGCAGTCTTATAGGGTTCTATACAGTCAGCTGAGAATCTTTATACTTTCATCATGATATCCCTTATAATTGAAAATGGAGCATTCCAATTGAAGCTGGACAAGTATATTTAAAACATAGCACCAAACAAAAAAGGTATTAGATAATATTTAGGGTTTTTCTTTTACACCAGACTTCTGTCGCAGACTTGAAACAATCTGTAAACAGCATTCCTACCTCTTTGTTTAGCTATGATTAGCTGCTATTAACATACTATGCATAATACTATTAATAATTATAATACATATATGCATTTATAATCACTTTAACATTTTGTTATACATAGAGAAGAACACTACATTTCTAAGACATGATTTAAAACTACAGGATACATTTATTAGTAACTATATGATTAACTAGCAAAATAATCTACATAGTATATATAAGATAAAAGTTATTACAGAATAAATAAAATGTTATGTAATATAAATGGAATAAGGGGGAGGTAATTAGAGTTAAAAAGAATGTTATCTTGGTTAGAGTTAACTCCCCACAAAGCATGCTTCATATTTTCACATAATGTATGCTAAGTTATTTATTTTGACAATCAATTACATTGTTAAGTTATTTCAATTTATAACATTTATAAAGGACTGTTTGAATCTTGTAAATTTTAGTGATGACTATTTGTATGCAATCAGAACATTAAGCCAGTCTGACCATGCTTTATATACTCGACTATTGGCTGCTCTTTTTTTTCAAACTTTGAAATTGAAATTCTTTCAATTAACATTGCCAGCTAGTTCTCAATTCAAAGCCGGGCACATTGTGAAAACTATATAACAAAATGTCAGGCAAATAGCAGAGAACAATATTTATTTTATATGTAAATCATGTAATTAATTTGTTTCTTATTATTCATAATACTTGATGTATCTTGTTAATAAGCCTCATAAAGAAAAACAGACAATTACGACAAAGATCTCTGTTAAAAACTGTATTCTAATATGCAATTTGACTTTTTTACTATAAAACTAATCTACTAAGATACTGTTAAAAATGTTTCAGTCAGGTTAACACCAGGGAAGATATGATAGCATGCTTAACTATTCTCAGTGGTTGATAGTAAAACAAGAGTAAAACAAGAGCCTGGGTAAACTAGAATTTGTATGTTCAAAAAGGGCCATAATTATGTGAAAATCCAAAGTTAAAGTTATGGGCCTTGGACAATGGCCTCCTTTTATGCTATCAAATAAGTGTGGGTAGTTTCCCATCAGTATTTTCGGAGATACAAACTTGCATGCAAAAACTTAACCATGTGTGACGCTGACATCAAAGTGAATACATACTCAAGATAAAGAAGGTAAAATTGCATTTAAGAATACAGAATTCCACAGAATCTGTTGATTACAATGATTTATTATTTTAAGGCAATAAAGTAACACTGTCAAAACTAGGAGAACTGAAAGAACTAGCCTTGACAGTGTTGCAATACGCCCTCTGTGTGCCTTTAATAAAATGAGCATGCTTTGTGAAAAGATGAAAAAGATAGAGATACAATAACCCTCACACACCTTAGCAAGCGGAGTGATTAAAGTGCAACATGATATTGTCATTCACACAGCTGATATATTCTCACAACCATCGCCATGTGGGTTATGTGCCCAAAGACCGCCAGAGTTATATGCCCTTGAACTGTAAATAGACTGATCTACTGTCCCATTTTCACAATTCCTCATTCTAGTGGAACCAGTCATGTACTCATTGTAAGGATTGCCTCCCTTTGAAACACTATAGGAGTTCACTCCCCCTGACATGGACTGGTCCCCAATATCTATCACAGACTGGTTATCACTAATTCTATATCCATACCCAGTCTGGTTGCCAGAGGCACCAGACTGGTCATAACTGGAACATTTTTCCACTTCCTCTCCTTTAGACCACTCCATGGAATCTGCATATGTAACAAATGTAGGCTGACCCCAGCTGTTCCTGGCGTGTTGGACAGCCTCGAGTGAGGCATAGTGGGTAGAAGGATAGTCTTTAGGACTAACGTAAGTTCTAGCTGGATACTTACAAGGTTCCTGCTCCTCGCTGTAGATGTATATAGCCATAAGTGTGAACACAAAACCAGTCAACTGTAAGTAGATATCTCATCAATGTATATACAACCTTATGTTTATCTGCATAATAATCTATGAATTATTGATACAATATTTTATTTTCCTAAGAAATACATGAAAAGATGCTTATGGTTTAAGATGGACACACATGGCTAGAATTCAAAAATAATACAGACTCTTAGAACAGATTCAGTCAAGATCAATATAAAAGTAGCAAGAAGCAGACACTGACTGCCATATCCAAATGCCAAACAGGAGACCAGTTAACTGTTATCAAAAGCAATAATAGTAGCCGTCTGTCATTTAACTGGATACTATACTGTAGTTAAACCTATTAATAAGTAATTCCATATGATCTTTAAAAACCCTTGGCACAACAGACAGAAACTTTCACAACACAGGCATGCTATCTAAATAGACACTTAGGAGCTATTTCTGTTATATATAGAGGATCAGTTAATACAGGTTGAACTGTGCACTGGTAATTTCAATGAGGCTTACGGCCTTGATACAGAGGGTAAACTACCAACATCACTACCATTATATATTGTAACATAATGAAGTTAATTGTTCTCTTCTGTTCCATTTACAGATGGCACCCAAAATAGTTCAACTATAACAATCATTTCTATTTACTATTACAAGTTACATTTTCAGTTGAATATACATGGCGACATTGGCCGAGAGGTTAACACATCAGACTAGTAATCTAAGGATTACTGAGCACAGGGGTTCAAACCCTGTCAGGGGCAAGTCGTTGTTAACTTGAGGAAAAAACTTTACATTCATTGCTTAGTACTGGTTGGTTCCAGGAATGGATTCAAGAGTGATTCAAATAAGCTTATATCTTCCAACACAATCAAACAAAAGTAAATTTGTATAAACTAAACATGTATACACTTACCGCCAACAAACACTGCACGCCTGCATGTATAACTTCCACATAGTAGTATGCAAGTATGCACCCTTCGACAAACTCTTCAGGCGGTATTTTACGTCCTGCGTTAGACGAGTCATCCTCTACCCATGAATCATTGCTGATCTTACATCCTATCCCGTGCTCTAACCACCAACTTTTACTCTTGGTACCAATACTCAAAATATACATCTGACGATCCTAAGACAATGTTTTAAATATGGCATTAAAATTTTCGTTTTTGCATATAAAAAAGGCCAAGTCTAATTTGTACAAAATCATTGGTGATAGCAAGTGTTACGACAGAAGGATAAGAAAAATATCCTGCAGCATGACAGGGTTTTGAACCAGAGATCCTTTGAAAACTGATATGCTGGTTTACTGACTAAGCAGTTTGGCTGCTTACCCATTTTCTCCCCTAATTAGTGAACAAATTCAAAATGCGAGAAACTGTGAAATCACAATACTTCTGAATTAACCTGAAATTTAAATCTTTTTTTTTTGTTAATTTTAATGAATGAAATCAAGAAAGTATAAAGAAAATTGTGTTTTACTTGTTTGCTCCAATGGGAACTGAACTACATGTACTTACCCGGTTTAGCACCCCTACTTCCAAATAAAGGCAAATAACAAATATGTTCCAACCAAGCCATATTAAACTCCAGGTGGAATACTGAAATATAAAATAAAACATACTGTCATTGAAGCAACTGGATTCTTAGAACACTGTTTTCAAGCACGGTGGAAAATTAATTCATGGCTTCCAATACATAATAACAAATGTACAAAATTTAACAATACAACTGATCCGAATTTAGCAAAAGTCCAAACAGTGTGAGACTAGGGTGGGCCAATGTCCACTTGAGAGGTGCCGTACAATGTACAGTGATTCATTTTTAGAGTGGACGACAAATGTCCTAAGGGTGGAGCAGGGTAACAGGAAATGGCAGTTTACCATAGTTTTAGCAATAAATTGAATTTTGTGTTTATTGGAGGCTATTGTTAAATACTGTTTTTCCCAATTTGTCTAAAACATCGTAAAAATTCCCAATTCTGGGGATCAGGTCATGTTCACAGTCAGTACTGAGGAAAAAAGAAGAACAGTTCTATTTTGTTTTAAGGAGGGTATGACTGTTAAGTGATTATCCCAGTTTTCTTGTCAATTTATGTAAAGATACAAAATTAAGGAGCAAAAAGCTTGAAATGTAGTGACTTTATTGCCTAAAATGCCTTATCCTAAGAAAATTACCAACAAGCCAAGGTCTGTGACTACTAAATCTTATCTTCTTTTGAATCTTTTGAAATGGATAGAAATACATGTATGTTTGCATTAAATACCCTGAAATACTATTGTGCCTCAATCAAATTAAATAGTATTATTGCCATAGACTCTATGCTTTGACCTTTACCTTTCAACCTACTTAAAAGAAGAATTTCATAAGACACTGTGTCTTTCATTCAAATCCTGTTGTTTTAAGAATACAATGTATATGAAATGCATTTTGTGTATATTGTAAATTGAAACATGTATATATATATATACTGGGAAATAAAATATGTTTTAACTAACCTACTTGTCTGTAAATGCATAATGTATTAAATAATTTTAATATATCATTATACATCATTATTTGTTTAATATCTAATCATTATTTCTTTAATATCTGTAAATAGCACAGTTATATTTTACTACTTTTTAAAAAATAAAAAAAATAAAAAAATCTTCCTTATTAAACCTTATTGTTTCTATAGATTCGGTATGTGATAACCGATTACAATCAAACACAGTCGGGAATGTCAGTCAGTACTAACAAGTCATGAAGTTTCATAAAAATTTCCTTCAATTTTTTAATCTTTAACAATATTGTTAAAGACACAAAATAGATATCATTATAATACAAGAAGTTTCAAATGTCATTTTTTCCCACACTTCCTGCCATACTGAATCATACCGTGCCTTTAAAGTTTATTTTTCACATGACGTACATGTAAACAAACACACAATGAACAGAATAAAATGTAAACCTAACGTAAGTTATGTATAAAATTTGAAATAATCGTATGATTTCTTTAGTATGAATTATGATGTAATCAAAATAATTTAAAACATAATGGCTAACCTAACTTAACTTCTGCATGTATATAAATTTGAAATAATCGTATGATTTCTTTTAGTATGATGTAAGCTTGTTAAGTAAACAGGTGTCTGGCTAAGACAACAATCAAAGCTATTATACTATAAAACTATCAATTACCTACTTCCCTTTGTGACAATTTTATTGATCAGACGAGATATAAAAGGTAAAATAACAAATAACGTGACATAATTGCATGTAAACACACAACCAAGTGTAACGGCTGAATGATTTTCTTATCAGAATGAAACTTTTTCTGTTTGACTGGTCGTCCAAATTACGGGAAATACAATGGTTCAACTTACTAGTGACTGCTGTGTCACTGATTTAGATGTGAGACCAGCTATTGTTTGCATAGAAAATTAAGAATGTCCAAGGAATGTGTTGCAAGGTATATTTACAAACAAGGGTAGCAAAAATGTGTCATGAATTAGTCACCCTGATAATGCAGTGTATGTACAGTAAAGTATACTTACTTCAAGTTTAACAATAAATTAAACAATACATGTGCATTTAGTCCGAAGTTAAATACAAACAGCTAGGGTCAACATTTACTTAAAGGAACATTTTCATGATTATGTCTCAGAAAAAAAAATATTCACCTCCTTTAGAAAGGGCATTTAAGGGGCAAACATGATTTTATAACATTTTTTAATGGTTTTATGTATGTTAGATGCTTATAGCCTGAAGAAAGTAGCACTGAATGTTAAATCATTTGTTATGAATGCATGCAAAGAAAGTAGTTTTTTGACTTCCATACAGAATAATAAATCACTAAATCTTTACCAATTGCCAAAAAGCAAGAGACACAAAAGAAGGTTCAGGTAATAGGCCAATAAGTATCTTTTTTTAGGAAACTGTAACATATATTCTAAAATATATTATATATTAAGACACTAAAAATAAAAAGATTTAGGGAAATAAAAACAAAAGCATTCCTGGAGCATAATAAATGGGCCTAAGTTTATAGTAGGCAACAGGGACTGAAACTGAACATTTTTTGGTCTTAAAGCAAGCACAACAATATATAATTTACATGTTAAAATTACTTAAATAATTTTTTTTCTGAAAATATAATTTATTCATCCGGAAATTTAGAAATCAATAATGAAATCAAATAAATCATTTTTCTACACTGCAAAAGTTCAAAAATAATCAGCCTTAAAGTGTATACAGCTATATATTTTGCTGTCAGTGAAATGTAAAGTTATTTTATTGTGATTATTAATAATTTATTAATAAAGAACAGAATGAAAGACATTTGTCAGTATATTTTATTGAAAGCAAGGGCATCATAGCCAAACCTATTTTTAAAAAAAGCTGCCAAATGTTTTGTACTGGAACATTTTATTTTGTTTATGTACTATATTCGATTATATTTAATTACATAGACATTCAACCATGAGGCTACGAAAACAAAATAATTTTACCTTTTCTTTCTTTTTTTCAATACAAAATTTCATCAGCTTCAGCTTTATACACTCTTTATACATTAATATATATACTGGTTTGGGAGATAACTTCGGCTGGTTGATAAACTCGGCTCTTTATAATAAAATCGAGTGATCGGAATTTTTAATATAATCAAGCTCACCATCTCATACTATCGCTGGAATTCGACAATATCTGGAAGTTTTGTCAAGTTTGGTAAGATATTTAAACAAGAGCACCGCTAGGCGGAGCATTATATGCCCGAAAGTATTTTTTTTTTTAGTAAGGATGACCTTAACCGTTGACCTTTTGACCCCAAAATCAATAGGGGTCTTCTACCCAATATGGACAATCATCCTATGAAGTTTGAACATTGTGGGCCAAATGGAACTTAACATATGCTCCGGCAACTGTTTTCAGTATCAAGGTAATAGTGGACCTTCACCTTTGACCTTTTGACCCCAAAATCAACAGGGGTCTTCTACCCAATATGGACAATCATCCTATGAAGTTTGAACATTGTGGGTCAAATGGAACTTAAGTTATGCGTGGAAACATATTTTTCAGTATCAATGTGATAGTGACCTTCACCTTTGACCTTGTGACCCCAAAATCAATAGGGGTCTTCTACCCAATATGGACAATCATCCTATGAAGTTTGAACATTGTGGGTCGAATGGAATTTAAGTTATGCTCTGGAAACTGTTTTCAGTTATAAGGTAATAGTGACCTTGACCTTTGACCTTTGACGCCCAAAATCAATAGGGTCTTCTACCCAATATGGACAATCATCCTATGTAGTTTGAACATTGTGGGCCAATTGGAACTTAAGTTATGCTCCGGAAACTGTTTTCAGTATCAAGGTCATAGTGACCTTGACCTTTGACCTTGTGACCCCAAAATCAATAGGGGTCTTCTTCCCAATATGGACAATCATCCTATGAAGTTTGAACATTGTGGGTCGAATGGAACTTAAGTTATGCTCTGGAAACTGTTTTCAGTTATAAGGTATAGTGACCTTGACCTTTGACCTTTTGACCCCAAAATTCAATAGGGGTCTTCTACCCAATATGGACAATCATTCCTATTGAAGTTTGAAAACAATGTGGCCAATTGGAATTAAGTTATGCTCCCGAAACTGTTTTCAGTATCAAGGTCATAGTGACCTTGACCTTTGACCTTGTGACCCCAAAATCAAAATAGCATCGTTCTTTGTTTCCAATCATGGACAATTCTATCTATCAAGTTGAACCTTTGTTTACTTTTTGGGTCGATCCAATATGGATAATCGCTATAGTTATGCACTTCTGTGAAAACACCGTTTTCAGTTTGAAAGGTAATAGTGATACTCTTGACCTTTGACCTTTTTACCCAAAAATCAATAGGGTCTTTTTACCCATATATGGACTAATCATTCCTATGTGAAGTTTTAAGCTATTTGTGGGCAAAGGAACTTAAAGTTGATGACCGGAAAATCAAGATTTGCTAAGCGGTTTTGCAAGCAGCTTATTTATGTGTAAGAAATTCACTGTTAAAACGAGTTCACTGTTAAAAATCACGCTGTTAAAACGAGTACGGAAACGACAGACAGAACTTTGACGAGCCAGGGGGAAAAATATAAACATTTAATATTGCCCTTTCAGGGCATTAATAAAAATAACACAGAACTTTTACCTGTTTGTTACGAAAACATGCTATAAAGAAGTACGGGGAATCCTCCAATGTCGTGCGCATCGTGCGAGCAGTTATGTTCTCTCTTAATATATATGCAGGACTCCCGCACAGATGAAAAAATTACTAAAACAGCATATAAACTTGACCGCTACCCGCTAAAGGCACAACCGAGATTTACGTATACATTTATAGATAAACATCTGAGGAGACTCCACCTGTATCTTGCAATAATCACAAGAAAATATAGGTATCTGATTATATACAAATAAGGTAATCCTTCATAGGTATAATAACTGTGTCCAAGGGAATTGATATGCGAATACAATAAAAATATTGTTTCTTCTCTCACTCTGTTTATATGTAAGCAAATAAATGTATTCCTTTGAATCACTAAATTTTTTAACTTCATATTTTCGTTATACGTTAATAAATGATAATGCATTGTGTTTTTACGTAAA